CATATGCTGCCATTCAACTACAGACAAAACAGAAGTTTCTTGGGTACTAGGGAGGGATGAAAAGGAGGTTTAAAGATCTTTTGTGTTGTTCTGGATCTACCATCACTCTCCTCCAAAAGCACAGAGGTAACCCAGCAAGCCACCCTCAGGAACACCAGACACACACACACACATTGCTTTCACAGAAAGAAAAGAAACTTAACAACCTTCTCCCTCCAGAAAAAAAAAAAATAAAGAACATATTTAATTGCAAAATCTGCCTAAAATCTGTTGGATTTTTTCTTTATAGTGTTGGAAGCCACAGTACTGCATGTGCATGAGCCCACCAAGCAGCAGCAGGGGAGTTGGAGAGCTGAGCCTCTTGCAGAGGGGCTGGAGCCTCACTGCCACACAAGCTAACAGAGCGTCACTGATTTAATTGACTGATGATTTAATAAAATGCCCTGGATATAGATTAACTCGCTTTGCTTAATGTAGCTCAGCTTCCTGGCAGCAGGAACTGGCACAGCACTGCTCCTGAGCTGGGAGCTGGGCTGCCCAGGGGCTGCACACACCCCCTGCTCACACCACTTGCCCACCCAAACCTTTCCCATGACCCTTCCCAAAATAATGAAGTGCAACACAAAGCTAAGACACAGGCAAGCAGATACACACACACATTAAAAAATAAGCTTAAGCCTTATCCATGCTATAGTAAGTCCCTAACTCAGCTTTGCCAGCCTTGTCTTACTCCAGAGACTAATACCTAGCCAAATATCCTTAGTCTCAACATTAAATTTCTTCTTTTGGACCATTTAAATCTCATAATTGTAAAAACAATCATCACCTGGATTACTTAATTCCTGCCCAAGGCCTGAGATGATATGAATCAGCATTGGGTTAACAAAAGCAGAACTTTCCCCATGTAGGGGAAGGCAGAGATCCCTCTCAAATGTGTTTCCCTGCTCCATCCCTTCACCTATTAGTAGGTACAAAAAAAACCCCTACAATACTCAAATCACAGCATTTATCTCATTACAGTTCATATGCCCAATTTCAAATAAAGAAAGATACTGTAAAAGTTGGAAAAACAGAGAGTAAAAAAGGATTATTAGCCAGCTCTAATTATACAAACTGATCTCATCCTCTTGTCATAAGCTTCTTTCCTGTTTCCGGAATCTATTTGTGCTACAGAAAGACCAGCCTTTTGTAAATGTCCATGGGTCATCAACACAGGGTGATTAATTTCCCATTTTACAGTACACACATACTGTCAAGCAATTCACTTGTAATCCGATATAACCCTGCCCTCACTTGTAAATTTTTTTCCTCTAACATATTACTAAAGGCAAACTGTACTTAAGATACCGATTTGTAAAATCCAAACAACATTTCGCAAGGAGGCATCATGCTTCTCTAATAAAATAAAAATCACAGACCACATCTTCAGTTCAAGTAGCTACATCCTAATAAAGTTAAGACCTAACAGTCGACTTGAATTAAAGAGCAGCATGTACGCAAAAGCACACATATGTTTATACTCAAATTAAGTCCTCCAACAGGTTCTGGGGCAGCTGTTTCACGTATGCATGAGACTTTTATCTCAGGCTCAAATATTAACTTCCAGAAATCCTTAGCAGACATTCTAGCTGCCTCCTCAAATGAGCAAAATCCTGTTTATACCTTGCTATGCATTTTGTTGTTTGAATAAATGTTTTGGCAGTAAACTGTGGGGAAGCCCTCAATGACAACCAGCTCGTGTTTGTAAGGGTGATTCTTGACTTTGGGGGTTTAACCAGGAACTTCATGAAAATCCCCAGGTATCAAACTGGGCAGCTGAAGCATCATGCAAGTTACTGGTTATCTTTGAAAACAGAGATGCATTATATGGGACAAGGTGAAGAATGGAGGGAGGCAAGAACAGGCTTTGGGGAGTATTTCATCCCAGTGTATAAAAGGATAAACACAGTGGAGAGCTGTCAACAGAAAGGAGATGCCTACAGCCTTACATATGCAGTGGGAGAGAGCAAAAAATCTGTTGATTCCTACACTTCTTGACTACAGCACATGTCCTAAAACCTTCTCCATTTCACTATTCTCTGACTCTCAAGGCTGTGCTGTTTCAGGAACTATGCTGAGCAATGATGGTTTCAGTAAAAGAAACAACATCCCAAGCCCTAGAGCTGAGCAGTAAGGCCCCTGCTTCTCTCTGTGCTTCCCAAACCACAGCACTTGTACATTCCCAAAAACACAGGCTTGCAGTAGAAAACGATCCATGATGCCCAAAACACCACACACACATTAATGCTGACAAATATTAAACATTTCCTAGCATTTACAAACCAGGTAAACCCAATGCATATTTTAATAAAGGCATGCACCAACCTTAACTCTCCACAGCAGAGAGCTCTAGCCAGAGGTCAAGTTGGAAAAAGATGCATCAAGACCAAGATGCAAGACATGTTTCCACTTGCATTTCGGTCTAAGCAGCTTCAGTGCCCAACATTTTAATGTGCTTTTCTTCTCTGAAGAATATATCAGACTCAATTTTCCCTTTAGGCTCCGTTTTGCAAATGCTGCCATTGTGGCCCCAGGCACCACAGACTTACTCAGGAAGAGCCTGGCTGACACTTTACTCCAGAAGAAGAAAATTTCATCAGAAACTTCAGGTTTCCTACACGAGTACCTGTGCTAACCTCACTCCCTGTGGCACAGCATGACCACATCTGACACTGCAGAATTACAAATTGCTTCTTCATAATTGCTCCTCTTCTTTCAACTCACAAAACTATGGGAAACTTCTCTAAACATATACTTTAGGCAGTGAGAGAACATGCTCATTTTGCTGAAACATCCTTTCTGAGGCACAACAGGCTCAAAAAATGCACATCATTCACTTAGCAACTGCAATGATGGAGTCACTTGTGTGGCATTCCCTGCAAGGAGAGTGAGAGCTCTGTTCCCAGGACACTCTATTGCACTGGGAATATCCCACAGGAAGTAAAACCCCAAGCAACAGAAAATATTATGTCACTAGCCCAGAAAAGAGAGAACATTCATTCAAGCCCCATTTTTAAATAAATTAAAGCATCAAATAATGAAAATCCAAGTAAGCACATTTTGCACCCAGTTCCACTACCCCACCTTCTGCACCTGAGCAGGCTCATATGCAAAACCCCACATTTTGCAGACACCTAAAACTGTTTCTTTCCACTACCTTTACAAAGTGACCTTTCAGGCTGGTCCCCCAGGAAATGAATGGGTTAAGTGCCCAGAGGTCCCAGCCTCCCCAGTAAATCATTTATTACCCCAGCTCAGGGACAAGGAGCTCTGCAGAAGCGAGAGCCCACGCTGTGCAGCTGTTCCCAGCCAGGCAACTCTCCACAATTATGTTATAACACAGGATTAAGCTCGGGGAGTGGAAATCCGTCTCTTCATTGCTGATGGCTTTTTTTTTCTTTTTTTCAAGTTACACAGCTATTTTAAATGTTACAGAGCTCATTAACATGAAGTTCATTAAGCAGTAACCACTTTATGAATGAAATGAAAAGACTGTCATTATAAGAACAATTATGGAAATCCTAGACCAGCAGGTAGAAAAAGGAAAGGGTATGAGAATGCTGCTCCTGATCTCCAAATTAGTCCTTCTTTTTTTCCCAGATCCTTCAGAGGAGGCACACCCAGAAATCAGACATGAGGCAGAGGCTGGTTCCCAGGCAGGACTACAGGTGAGCAGCTCTTGCTGCCTGTTCTGGCCTCCCCAGAGATTTCATGGCTATGCCTGAGTGCAAAAAGTCATTCCCCCTTGGTCACCCCCAGAAAGGGTCTGGAATCTTCCTCAGCAGTGAGCACTGCTTGCTGCAACTCACCACGCTCCCCAAATTAGCAGAAAGTTAAGAAATACTATGACAAATCAAGCCACAAATTGCTTCTCTGCAGCTGGTGTCGTGCCTTTCTCCTTTAAACTGATGGGACTTGGAGACCAGCTCTCAGCAAGCCACTTATTCATTCCTGATAAAGCAGGTTCCATTCATAATCATGCCAAGGACTCCAATTTTTCCTCAAGGTCTGAAAATAGGTACAATTCCACTGCTCAACCCCACTGAAAAAATGAAAACCCAAATAATTACAACACATACTTGTCTCTCTACAAGTAACAGTTTATGATTAATCTACCCAGCTGTTGCCACAGCTCAGTAACACCAAACGATTTGGACTCAGTCTCGTTAAAGCGCTGGTCTTGTAGGCAAGACCATGGAAAATACGAGGCACTGCAGAAGGTAAACAGGTTAGGGACAGTGTGAGGAGAAGAGAGGCAGCTTGCCATGGTTTTCCTCCCTCCCTCCCTTGACAGAGCTCACACATGGCAAGCACCCATTTCCAGGCAAGACTCTGGCAGTTTCTTTGCTCCAGGCTAACAGTTTATACACATTCAAGCCTTTTTGGAGAGAAAGGGTGTAACTCCATGAGTCAAAACAGCTCCTGTCAGTATTGCAATAACCATATGCTGGCTTTCAGGTCAGACCCACCCCATGATCTGGTTCACCACACCAAGAAGTTGGTGTTAACTGAACAACAAACCCAGAAGCCTCAACAACAGGAGTGCTCCGGGGCACTCAGACCGACCAGGAGGCACCCCAGCTCTGATCCCAGCTCCCATGGAAATCCTGGAGCTGTAACCATATGCCTGCCCCAGGCACATGAAAGCTCTGTCTGAAAATATTAGGGGGAAACAGCTGATGTTTTAAGTGTTAAGTGCTATTTTATACCGTGGCATCTGCTTGATACAGGAGGCAACACCACATACCATATTTTCTACTTCCACCATAAAGATTGTATTTTATGGCAAAATAACTTGTTGAATTTGTTTATATCATTGTAATTGCTTTGATATCAGCATCCCCTCCTCCTGACAAGGCTAAGTTTGACAAATGGCTTGACAATGGGCAAACTCATTCTCCCAAACCCATCTCAATCCTGGTGTGTGCCTGAAAGAGCTGCCAAAAAACATTTAACCTTACTTTAACTGCATGAAGCAGTACAGGTGGCTCCAAGATGTTCCTCAGCTCGTTCCCACACCAAGCAGGGAGAAGTAGGGCAGGTCACAACACTCAGCTCCTGGAAGGGGAAAGAAGAAGAAGAAAGAGTCACCAGGTGCAAGGGTCAGCATGGCTGAGAGCGGTCCCAACACCCAAACTGGCACTGCAACACCTTCACCAAGGGGGATGGAGACCATCCTCTCCCTTGCTGACCATGTGGGAGGCATGTGTTCCTTCCTGCAGCAGTCCCATGTGGCTCCACAGGCACACACAGGACAATGGCCACATTATGGATAGGGCTATTTATAGACACATGTGGGCATCTGGCACCACCTAAGAATAACTGCACTGCTGAGCTGTATTTGCTGCTGTCCTGCTATTTGGTTTATCCCCAAAGCTGCTGATCTGCTGTCCATCACCGTATCCCAAACAACTAAGCTGACCTTAAGTCCTTTGTACCCATCAACACAGCCTCTCTCTGACAGACTTCATCAAATTCTTTGTGGACTCTCTTATACCAAGGTGTTTTAACAAGAACAAAGGTAGATGATGGCAGATGGTGACTGGTAGATGAAGCCCCAATCTACCAGGACATCTCTGCCAAACCCTTCTGGGTTGCCTGTACTTTTCCTTAGTCTGGTTTCCTGCTCTGGGGCAAAATCTACTCAGTAGATTCAACCAGAGGGATGGTCTCCAAAGCATACCTAGAAAGAGCAGTTAAAGTGAATCAAATGTCAAAAGGTGAAAAAGCCAAGGTTGGGCTATAGTTTATTAAATGCTGTGTGGGAGATTTTTATTAGCTAAATCAAAGTTATCAGGGTAATCTCAGACCATCATTTGGTTACCACACCAGGAAAGGTTGTGGCTACACACACACCACTGAACCAAGCACAACACAACAACTGCCTCCTCCTGTTCTACCAGAGAGAGACTCTGCCCCTGACCTCTCCCTGTTGGGAAAACATCCATAATCTGGGAATCTCACAGCCTGAGCCAACCTGCCAACCTCAACGTGCAATCACAAGCACAGAAGTAACAATGGCAAAACTAGTTACCAGCTGGGAAATCAATTGTACTGTGTGAATTAGCTGGGGAACGAACAGGACTGGGAGGTGAGGAACTGCACAACAAATCTCACTTCTTCATCTGCACGAGAACTGCATCACCTGAATACCTCAATGTTGGTTTTACATAATGTTTTTTTTCTTAAGATTAGCACCTAAAAGTCTCTTTTATCCATTCTGATGAGAAATAGGGAGAGTATTTTGCAAGGCACTACAGGGTATTGTCTTTTACTACAAATATGTTTGTTTAGATATAGACCAAAGAGGAAAAACAGAAAAAAAATTCATCCTCTTAAAGGATTGTGCATTAATTCCTTCATTGCCATGTCACACATTTCTGAATTACATTCTTATGCCAAACTACTGGAGCTGAAAGTGGAATTACCTGAACTCTTAAATTCCAGTTAAGAGCGTACAAACACTCTTTGGATTCATTAACCAGTAAAAACCACCCTCGCAGTCACAAACAAGCAGACTGGAACTTTCCTCTGGCATTTTTGTAGTGTTATTTTCAGGACCTCAATTTCCAAGACGGTTACTGTTTGATAAAGCAATGATTAACTATTTGCCATCCTGTGTTGATCTCCAAGGAACAGCTCCTTCCAAGGCACATACAACAACAACAGCACAGTGGTTTCACTCGTTTATGAGACACTGATAACTTGGCTTTTAATACTGGATTTGTGTATTTTGGCAGAGAAAGCAGGGTTTGCTGCTATCCCTTAGCACCAACAAGGACTGTTGGTATGGCTAACATTGCCAGGGTAGATAGGGAGCATGCTGTGAATCACTGCAGGTTTTTCCTCATCTCCACTAAGGAATGAGGGTGTGTGTATGGAAAGCTCACTTGGATGCTCAGGACCTGGAAATTATTAGCAACTGGAGAAAGTAAACTGACTTAGCACTGAAAAACTAACATAAAATTCCTCCACACAGTTTTTTGTCTGGTTTTATTCTGTGGGAGTTTTTAGACAGCTACAAGAAGAAACAAGTAACATTAGAAAGTCGTATATATTTTAATTGTGTATATAATCATTGCACAATCAGTAAGGTTGTCCACATCAAAGTATCAATTCCCCAAAAGAATTGATTTCCGCTTCCCATGAAATCGTTATGGGACAACTCCTGCATGCCTAAGCACACCCATTTCAGAAGGATTTCCCCATGGGGATTTCTTCTCCTCCCCCTCCTTTACTGGGAAATCATTACCAAGTGTTGATGAACACTGACATACCTCCTGTTTTCTGAATCTTAAAAAGATGGGTTTAAAAATTATGTTTCATGGGTAACAAATGAGTAACTGCTTTACAAATGAAAAACTATTCAGTATTATCACAAGAAAATGATGATACACAGTAGCTTTATAAAAAGCAATTTGGTTTCTACACGGTTCTGCCAATATTCCAAACAACCTGTAACTCTGGGTAATTTCTGCCTAAAAAGGCCTACAGTCATGATATCCCACAGTGCTCAGTAAAGTAAATGAGAATTTAAAAAGAGTCCTTTGGACACCTGCCTTTACACAACCTATTTTGTTTGAGTTTAATAAAAACAGGGGGAAAACCCCATCTCTTCTGTTAGTACACAATTATTTGACAGCAGACTGTTTATGGTCTTGCTCCCTCCACATTGAGACAGCTAAAGCAGAAATTACCCTGGTCACTGATGAATTACTGAAACGCTTTATGAAGAGAGAGGAAAAGAAAATTTAAGGACACTGCTACAGCTATTTGCAGTTTTAAGATGACAACATTATCTGGCCCTGTGGATTATATATGCAATTGCTGTAAGAGATCAGTTGTTTTACCAAAAAAACTCAATAGCTTAGAGGTGATCTGCATCCAATATATGCTCAAGAGGCAGAGGAGCAAAGCATCAAAAGGCACTCTTGCTACACTTCTAAATTAAATGAACGGCAGTAAATAAAACAGACAAAAAAGAAATTATTTGGATTTGATAATCTATTTGAGAAAAATCATTTGGGACTGCTAAACATGCTTGGTAGAGTCCCAACATGTGGACCTCAGGGCTTCCAGTTTTTTGCTGATTCCTACCCAGCAAACTCCCACCCTTCCCCAACATTCCCCAATGTCCAGCACAGAGGAAACCACTCCTCACATTTGTTCTTCTTTCCCTGAACCCAAACCTGTTTTATTTTTCTGAGAACTGTTCCATGTTTAGTTGCTCTGGCATCTGAGCACTTTGACATGTCAAACGAGTTATCTCACCATCTGGTTGTAATTGCCATTGTGAAGCTTTCAACAAATTCAAAAAGCAGCACCAAGATGAGGGCACTAATGGTCTAGGAGATGGATGGCTGATTATTTGGGATTATTTGATACAGCTGGATCCTTTTCTAGACAAGACACCCAAGCACAGCCAGATCCCAGCACCCAAACAAACCTGTGGGGTTTTTCTGAGTTTTGGCTGTTGCCTGCTGTGAAAGCTTCTCACAATTGCATATC